TTTCATAAACAAATTTATTTATCAGATAAAATAAAAATAAACCCGTTATCTAATAAAAGACCAACTTTTTATAGCTTTCCTCCATTATAAAAACAGAGTACCCATTTCCCATAAACAAATTTATTTATCTGATAAAATAAAAATAAAACCATTTTCCAATAAAACAACAGCTCTTTATGGCTTTCCTCCATTATAAGAATAGAGTACCCATTTTTCCATAAATAAATTTATTTATCGACTAAATAAAAATAAACCCGTTTTCCAATAAAACACCAGCTCTTTATGACTTTTCTCCATAAATTATCCATTTTCCCATTTTTTTCATAAGCTAATTTATTAGTTGGATAAAATGAGAATAAAATTAGGTTGAATGCCAAATTACCCTTTTAGGATACAATGGAAAACAAGAAACTAACCTATAGCAAGTTTAAACTCCGTTTCCACTACAAAGATATGCAAGAAATTGTTTTTGCAAACTCAAGACATCTAATTTATAAAGTCTCAAGGAACCTTTAGAACCATTATAAAAAACAACTTATTCATTCTTAATTTTTGTTTGGAATAATTTCATAAACCTCCCCGGAGGTTTCTAACAATTTTACTTGGCACTCACAAATATTGAAAAATCTCACTTGCCTCTATTTTTTTTTTTGGGTCTGAAACTCACTTGCCCCCTTACTTTAAACTATTTGTTTATTTACAGCTCATTTTAAAATATAATATTAAAAAATTCATTTTGAGTATATTAAAAAATATAATTTCAAATTTACCTTTTTGTTGTCTTACTTTTTATTACCAAAAATTGAGTATATTAATAACAAATAAAAATAAAAAAGTATAAGGATTTATTCTGATTGGATAAAATAGAGTGCATTTTTTAAATACCAATTGTTAGTATTTGAATACCAAATGGAAGTTAGGCACTCATGACAGTCCATTTATTGTGATTCCAAACTGTGTATTTTTTCCCCTCCATTCCAAACGGTGTATTTCTCAAAATTTAAATAAATTATGCATCAGCCATACTAATTTGTTTGGTGGAGGAAATAGATAGTTTTCTTCTTCCATTTAATTTTCATGCCCATCAGTCATACTTTACTCATCGTGTTTATCCCTGCTGAAATTAGTTATCCCTGCTATATGTTAAATAACGTAGCCCATCAGTCATTCTTCACGTTAGGGCCTCTTCCAAGTGTTTATCCCTGCTATATTTCAAATAAACCCGTTCAGTTATGGCTGATGAGAGTACAAAAATTTGATTGTACTTAAATGGGTATGGGTATGGGTATGTACAATTTTTGCATATGGGTATAAATGGATTACCCAATAATACCCATTTAAATAATTGGGTATTATTGGGTAACCCATCAAACCCAATTAGCCTATTTAGAATTATTTTATCCCAAACCTCCTCTCTTCCCCCACCCATTAACTTGCTTATTTTTCACCATTATCAATTTATGACAAGTTTTAGTCTCTTTTCTTATTTTTCCAAAATGAAAATTTAAATTTATACACAAAAAAATGCTAGAGGTTCAAAATTTTTGGATTAAGTTTTTATGTTAACTTTTATAGTATTTAGTTCAAATTTTTATATTCTTATTGTTTAATTATTAAATAGTATGTAATTTTGCGACGTATAGTACATATGGAAAAAATTGATAATTAGGTTTATTGAGTATTATAAATAAATATTTTAAACTAATGATGGGTGTAAATGATGGTATAAATTGATAACTTAGTTTGCAAAAATGAATTTAAATGAATTTACAATAAGTTAAAATAAATGGGTTATAAATGGATAATTGGGTTATCCAATTCATTTTTTGACTTACCCATTTATACCCATCTAATTAAATTGGTATCAATGGGTTGATTCATTTATACCCATTACCCATTTTACCTAACCCAAATCCGTCCAAATCACCCATTTTGACAGCTATAAGTACACGGTACACGTGTAATGAAAAGTAGTACTATTACTAACTCACATTCAATGAAACGAATACCAGTACTAATATACATGTAAACAAAATAAGGTAATAAAGATTAAAACTCCTAAGATGAAAGAAAATAAGGCAATAAAGATTAAACCTCCTAAGATGATAATTCCTCTCCTTATGAATTTAATTAAATAATATAAATATATTATTATTTAATATTAATAAATTTATAATATATATTTATATAATATATTATATGTGTATATAATAATTATAAATATAATTACATTTATATTTATTATTATATGTTAATTTTTTTAACGAGTAGCGGGACGAGCCCCGTTTCTAAAAGGGAATCAAACTTGGCTTTTATCCAAAACCTTCCAAGTTACTAGGGAATTGGGAAATGCCATTGCATTTTTATATATAATTCCAAAATTTCAATTCCGATAATAGTAATCCAAACAATGATTATGAGGTTTATTCCAATTCTCTATACCGAAATCCTTTTACCAAATACCACATAATTATGCGTTCAATCCGATAGTCGATTCTTTGTTGCTAGTTCATAAGAAAACGGTAATAGATATGGATCATTCCGTTATGCATTTTCTAATGCATTGTAACACTATGACGATAATAGTTGATTATAGCGATTAATCAGATAGTCGATTCCGATAATTATAACTAATTGAGTCTCTAATTTGATTATAGATTCCTTGGTGCTAACTCATAAGTAGATGGTTGTAAATATGGATCATCTTGCTATGAATTCCCCAATTCCTCCATGGGTTAAGATGATAACAACTCATTATAACAATTAAATTGAATTGTCAATTCCGACGATTATAACTAATTAAGGGTCTAATCTAATTGTCGATTCCTTGATGCTAGCTCATAAGATGGTGGTAGATATGGATCATTGTTATCTTTCAATTTGTTTTTGGACTAAGAAGATAATAACTCATAATAGCCATTAATCAGATAGTGGATTCCAACGATTATAACTATTTATGCCTATTTATACAACTGTTAATAAGGACTATTTATATGATTGTTCATGGTCAACTAAGTCGAACATAGTTGATTAAAGTTACTAATATGATCTCACCTACGTCAATTAATCATAATAACTTAAAAGTGTGTGGTTTTGACAAAATTAAAGCACACCATTTGCCAAAATGATAGATCACGCCTTTTAGGCATCCAAAAACTATCAAATAACGCCCAAGTTTTTATTACAAATATCCCTCCTGACCATTGGCACGCGAGCCATTTGGAAATATCTTAATCGTCAGAAGTATTTCACGCAATTGCATTTCGTGCCATTGCATTTCTTTGGCGCCAAGAGAAGGTCTTACTGAATACATTATTAATTCTGAGAGGTCCCACAACAATTTTTTTTGCCAGTAACATACCCCTGTCTCAACCGGTTAAAAGGTTTGCTTGCTTGGCTCATATGGCCCACCACTATCTATTTGTCACCTTTATGTTGGTTTTCGACATTAGTAGAATACATTTGTTTCTTCATTTGAGAAGAAACCTATAAATGAGTTTGGCAGAGTTTTACATCGCTTCCTTCTTCTTTTGTTTTTTAAATGACTCATGTGATGTTATTTAGTCCATAGGTTTTTTTTATTACATTATTAGTTCTTAAACTTAATACTTAGTATTAGAATGGCATTTGACATTTTTTTGATATTTTTTATACAATAGTGGCCGGACATGTGACTGTTACATGACTTTTTTTCGGTAGCAATTTGGGAAAAAATTGTCAAGGGTACTAAATGTGCTCAAAATTTAAAAGTTCGGGTACCAGATTTGTTTTCGTCCTAAATTTGGGGACTAAAACCGCTCATGTGTCAAAATTTAGATACCAAAACTGCATTTTTTCTCTAATATTATTTACAGAAATTTGCCAAGTAGGGTGATCTTAAGTGGAGAAACACAATTTGCATATGACACATTAAATAAAAAAGAATATTACATGGTCGCGCATTTAACACACTCCAAATGACCCTACTTTTGAGATATTTTCTATCCTAACATTATTATTATTTACAGAAATTTGCCGAATTTCTCCCTTGTCCAATCACTTCTTTTATTTTGTGCAAACATATTAAAACCCCCAATTGTTTTAGCAAGTCAATTTTCTTGGCATCTCAGTGGCCCGGCTGGGGTAGGACTCAGGAGAAAAGGATTGCTGTCAAAAGTAAAAAGGAATATGCCATTCTGCAAACAGACGGTTCCTCAGCAGACTTCAGTTTTATTCTAATTTTTATTCCATTTTCAGCCCTATTGCCATATTTACTCAGTCCCGGGGCACATGCGGACGTTCCCTTCTCCCTCCATGCGTTTTCCCTCTCTTTCCGTTCAGGTACTATCTCTTCATATCTCAATGTACATAATTTTCTTGAAATTTATGTCTTCCCCCTTTTTCCTTCCGGCCCTCCTTTTTCATACCTACCCTACCAGGTATATATCATACCTACAATTGATCTACTTTTTCCTTCCGGCCCTGCTTTTTTTTTTTTAAAAAAAATAGGATATTAACTTGTTTATATATCCAATTACTATTATTACTATTACTATTACTATTACTATATTATTATTACTATTATTACTATTACTGGATGCTTGATCTTCAATTAGCCCTGCTAGTTCAAGCGTTCAGCACTTGACAGTTTCTTTGTTCTCTACTCAATTATCATTCCATTTTAGTCGGTCATAAAGGAGCAGAAATGAACAATTCAAGATTGTTGGGTATTTGCTTTGAATGGAAAACCGCTTCCGATGCTGCTTCATAAAGAAAATCGAACCTCAAGTCAGCTAGATCATAATTCATAGCCTCGTCTGTTTTTCACCTTTTTGGTACAAGTCCTTTTTGGTACAAGTCAAAACTAGCAGCACTCGAATAAGAGAATAACACTTGGTACCACAAAAAGCCCAAAAAAAAAAACTACAATAACACTAAACTAAAAATTGAAGGTCCCTTCTTTTTTTTTTTTTTTTTTTTTTTTTTTGGGGGAAAAGGGGAGAGAGCAAGAAGACAACCTCTTTTTTTTTTTTTTTTTCCTTCCCCTTTAAATGGAACAAAGAACCAGCCAATGTATTGTCTAACGGCAATAATGATCATAGGATGGGTGAGATTATCCACCCACACAACAGTTTCGGACGTTCAAAGCCATAACACCAGGGAGATTAAGTATTCACTGCAGCCGGTGAACAGCCCAAAGACGAATGAATGATTGGTAAAAGAAGATCAAAAGGAAGAAACAAGTTTTGGGACCCTGTCTCTGAATCGAAGTGCTGGAGTCATAAAACTGTAACAGCAATCTTTCCTAGTGTGGGAGTCTGTACAGCAAAGTCTTTCCGGATAAACCAGTCAAGAAAATGCAACAGCAGTCCTAGTCAGAGGCGAGTCACACATAGTGTCAGAAACTTTGGACGGAGGCCAATATCGAAACACTGATCTACAAACAATGTTTTGAATTGGAAGGGGGCCCCTGCAAGTGAAGAAATGAGAAGATAGAAGTCAGCAAATAAATCGCAATCCAATTTTCCAGGAAAAATGGAATATTCAAGATGAAAAGGCTAAATTCACATTAACCTATGTATAAGCATAGTTACCAAAACAGGGCAAGATATATTAACACATTCATCAATAAGAGTGAAAAAATAATCAATCAAAAATGCCCCCATGCTTCCTCCTTTACCTGTGATGATGATGATTGTAGTACAAACTAAGTATATGTTGTTCTGAACGAGGATCCTAGTAGAAATCTTACTCAAGGCATAACCAAACCAAAAATGAAACACAACCAATTCCAGATACTAGGAGATGCCCTTCTCCATGTACTAGGAGGCAAGAACCGCGCGCTGCGCGGTAGGAATAAAAGTGTTAATGCCCAGCGCAGTATCATGAGCAGGAACGCTGCATGAAGAGACTGAACGTATAGTGTAAGAAAGGCAATATAAAGAAGCACAAGGAAAACAGAGTTAGCAGTAAAGGTGTAAAACAAGGTACAAAGCTGATTAAAGCATAGTCCTTCAACGTCTGAGAAAGAAACAAAATGAACTTAAAACGGAAAGAACATGAGGCTAAATATTAAAATTATAGTGCCATGGATACATTCTTTCATTCCCTTTCCGATCGAAGATGATGATGGAAAAACAGGATTTGGATTGGGGCATGAAGAGAACAACTTCGCCATTTCGAAATTCATGGTCTGCAACGAATGTGGTCCAGTTTTGATCAAATTTGGCCGCAGTCATTCCAAGAAAATATGTTCGGTGTCCACTAGCGAGATTGATTGTTGGAGTTTTGGCTTCATGTAATCCCGGTGTTATATATTGCGGAAGGGTCTGTGCATAACCAAGTATAAGATATGACCAAGAGGGTGGAAAAAAGGAAAAGAAATGTGTATGCTCACCAAGATGCGCATATCAATGTGATCAAAAGTCGTGCGTAAGCTGGTCTATGTTGTCTTCATACCAAAATTAAAGATTTTTCACTATGTAGAAGTATGAATGTTCATGCCAAAGTTTTATAGATTTTTCACTCTGGGCTCTGGCATGTGATGAGCTTGTACAACAAATTCACAAAAATGGTAAAAGAAGCACATGGTGAATAGCAAATAACCAAGTACAAAACCACTGCTTGAAGGGAACACCACAAAAAAAAAAAAACAAAAACCAACAACTGCTACTACTACCAATATTGAGCGCAAAGACACTTCTCAAACAGATTGAAAAGCATAATCATTGATCAGAGTAGCAAGATCTGAAGATTACAGGAGACACTAAACATGCTATACTTTGCAAAGATTTAATCCACAGAGTCATGCATTGAACATGTTAGATCTCGTCAAATAACACCAGAGAAATTAAGCTGGATAATCAGCTCCCAGAAAGGGCATCCAAGAAATCACAACAGACACCCAGAATCTGAAATGTACTGTTCTCAAACTTCAATATTACCCCTTTCTTCAGCAATTAAAAGAAACAAAATAAACCCGAACGAACCTGGTCATAAACATCAACGAACATGCGGTATCAAGAACGAACTACAAAGGACATAAATCAGAATCAAACCGTGAATATGTTGCTCTTCTAGTTGTGGATGAAGGAAGTGACAAAGGGAAGAATGTTCATCAAATTTTTGACACTTGTTACTGCTTTTATGCACCTAAAGAAATAAAAAAGTAGAAAGAACAGGAAAAGATTTAGAAGTCTCCCCGCAAACAATGATGGAGCCAAGGGGGCAGAGGGAGGCCATGCCCCTAAGTTTTGAAAATTTTAATTCATAATATGTAAATATATGTATAAGTTAAAGTTGGTTTCCCTAATTTTTTATCATTTTAGTTTATATTATGAGAGTTTATATATATATATATATATATATTTTTTTGTGTGTATATATGAATTAGCCATCTTTTGATTTAATTTTTTCTTCAAAAAAAAGTTATTTATTTTTTATTTTACTAATTATTTAACATTCAAAAAATTAAACATATAATTTGATAATCCATAGTAAATTGACCCAATTTGATGTATTATAATGAAAGACTCAATTCATAATTATCAATGGGCTAAAATAAAAATAATTACTTTATTGGTCCATATACAAATATACACCTTAGCCTAATTGATAAAAAATTTAAAATTAGTGATCTATCCTCTTGTTGACTCATATACAAATATACAAATAGTTACTTGAAAGGTTGATGAAAACAAGAAATTGAGTGACACATCCTATTATTGACAGATTGATTGTATTTGTTCTCACTCTTTCTGTATTAACTGCAACTATAGAACGTACATTTTCAATTGTGAATATAATCAAAACAAGATAAAAGATAATTTCTTGAATGATTGTCTAACAATGTACATAAAAAAAAAAAAGGATGATCAAAATTTAACACCGATTCAATTATAGATGAATTTAGTTCTATGAAAGAACGTAAATCTCAATTTACTTTTAATAAAAGAGGATGAAATTTCAAGGTATATTAACATAACTTTTATCTTTTTTTTAATTGAAAATAATTATATTTATATTACATAGTTATATTTTTGTTTTTGCACAGGTGACATATTGGAGCATCTTCTCATAATGTACAACTTAAGTGGTTTGTAATATTATAAGATATTTAATCAAATTTTATTTCTTATCTTAATTTTAGTTCTTACTATGCTACATATTTATGAAATAGACATACCTTTATAATTAAAATTAAATTTTGATATTTTAAGATGTCATATATTTAAATAAATGAAAATTAGTTTGAACATAACATATTAAGATAATTTTGATTGAAAAAATTTTGGCCCCCCCCCCCCCAAGGAAAAAATCCTGGCTCCGTCACTGCCCACAAACCCGCATAAAAAGTGAAGAGAAAAGGCCTTAGGTTGAGGGCATTGAGTGGCATTTACAGATGCATGGGACAATTGTTCTTGATACAAGAGAGGGTTCAGCTCAGGCGGTAAAATTTGATAACCAAGGAAGAAAGGATGCACTTGCAGTGCATGGATATGCAGTCAGAAAGAAAGAGAGAGGAGAGAGACGTTTGAAGTTTGAACTTTGAAATAAAGTCGTTGGTGCGCTTGTGGGGTACCGTGAATAACATGTTGCATGGCCTGATATTCATACTCTATGCTCAATTTATAAAACCAAAAGTTTATTTGGGATTTTTTTAAAATAATTTTTTTGTAATTTGATGTATGTGAAATCAAAAAAAGAGTTAAAAAAAATACACAAATGATTGATAAATACTTTTATAATGCATTAATTTTTTTGTGCAGACAAAACTTGATGAATCAAAACGAATCAAAATTCTTTCACTGCAATTTTATAATTAACATAAATCAATTATAAGATGGTAGACATAGCAAAACTCTGATCTTCAATGATTTTCGCTTATGTATTTAGGGGTTAAAAGCAACTAAATATTTGGGTAATTTGATCTATAAGTTCAATTAAATATGTGGAAATTAATGCTAAGAAAGATCTAGGTAAACTCGTTTATAGATTAATATCGGTTGACATACGTAGCATAGTTCAAATTTTGCACGCGTCTACATTTTTAGAGTGTGAGTAAGCTCACTCAATTTAAGTAGACTTGAAAGTTGGAGTACTAACAAAGAATCATTTTTCGTAGGTGAGGACTGAGGAGATCTTGAAAGGAAGAAGAGGTCAAGAGAGTAATTTTGAAGGTTGAACAAATAATGGGACACTTGGAATGCATATACATACGTAAATTTATGTTGGAAATCCGAGTTCTCAGGCAATATCTTTCTCCCCTTACTCCTGTTATTTTGCTTCTTTTCAAACCCTTTTCTTGCTTCAATAACAGACAGAGACAGAGACAGAGACACTGAGGGCCTATGGATAACAGTAGTGTGAATGCATAATATTGATTTAGTGCATCAATAATGTCAGCCTTGGAAGACCTCCAAATAAAGTGGTAGTAAAAGACAAATGTTTTGTAGAGATGCAAAAGAGGAGCAACGCAAAAAAAGGGCATGATTTTCATGTTTTCGAGGTTGTGAGGGGGAACCACTGGAGCTGTCAGGAGTGCAGACCAGCATCAAACCCATGTAGACCGGACACCGGAGGAACAAAAACAAATATCGCAATGCGGAGGAAAAAAATTCAAAGAACACTTTCCAATTCTGTCTATGTTTGAATTTTCTTCTATAGAAAAGGAAAATTATCAAATAAACATATGATAAAAACTAATATGGGCGAGAAATAATACTACGCACGGATCTCAAAGACGCGAACAAGTTGGCAAGAAATAATCATATAAAACATAGACCTCAAACTTGAGAACTAATTAATTCAGATTATGACAAATTAAGTGGCCTCTCAAGGCAATGGTCTAGATGCAGTCTGTATCTTATTTTAGCTTTTGTAGTCCAGCTCCAGCAGCTGCTAAGTCCTATTTCTCAACTCAATTCTTAGGAGGAACAATAATTTTACCCTTGGCAATCTTGTTTTTGACTAGGAGGCATAAACCGCGCTGTGCGCTGAGGTAAAAAAGATGAACATGCCCAGTTTAGTAAAATGATTTGTACTTAATCCAAAATGAATATGCTCTCAAAATAGTGAAAACATTTATATTAATATAATTTTTGGACTTTTAATGTAGATCATATCTCAAATCTTCCTAATTCGTATGAGAACTCAAACGTTCCAAAAATAGGAAAATCACGAAGAGATGGATACAAATTTCAGCTAACAATATAAAAATCAATAATCACCATGCGGTGATACACTTTCCTAGTTTACATAAACTGACTAAAAATAAATTCTGAAGCTAAAACACCAGGAGCAAAATTTTCTATGCCTTTCCTCTTGAAGATTTGTATGGCCACTAGTTTTCTCGGTGATTTCCTCAGAGCGGCTACCGGTACAGAAGACGAGCCCGTCCTTTTCATAATAGTGCAAATGTATGCAAGCTAATATTTGTCCTTTTACAATATTTGTCCTTGTACCATCTAATATTTGTCCTTTTTATAAAACACAAATATATACAAGCTAAGCTTCAGTTTTGGTGATCCCATTATGATAAAGAATCAGTAAATCAAAAGTCACCGTTAGACATTCATAATAGTGTGCTCTACAATGGTAGTGAAAAGGGAGAAAAAAATAGAAAAAAGTTCTGGGTACAAAAGTCTGCCAACAGCAGTCTCATTATCTACTCCTATGCCTTGCTAACTTCAGTTGTGCTTTGGTCTGGGAAAGGTTGCATTCTCACAAATGGGTTTCTAATCAACGTTTCCCCTCTCAGAACAGCAACATACCTGTCATTTGTATGCTCTTTCCTCTGCAACTCCCCAAGGAATTCTCCCAGCCTCTCTTTATTCACTTTCCCCATTATCTAATTTGACAAGTACAAGCAAACAAAAGTTTGATCAGTAATCCTCACCCTAAGAATAAGTGACTTGAAAACATTCGTGCAAATAGATCCACAATCCAACAAGAAATTCAAGGAAACTGCCCAATAGCAATTTAGCAAGTGTAAATACCTTAAGAACCATAAAATCCTAATAAGACAACATTTTCCTTTCTTCGGTGGTTGAAATCAGCCAACTAAAAGTATCAACAAACATACTCATAGTTTTATTTATGCTTAGAATAACTAATGTTGTTAGGATGATCTTCACTTCACACACAGCTGAAATGTTGGTACATCTGTTTAAAGATGTACTTTACTTCATAGTTTTATACTTAGATATATATATATAAATGGATGGTTTCTGGTTTTTTCCTTTCTTTTTTTCAATTGAGCTTCTAACTTGGGAAGACTGTGGAAAGAGAAAAAGGAAAACGCTGATATATCAGGATCGGTTTAGTAGTGACTTACAGAAATATTAGCAAGTAAAGCAACAAGTTCCATGTACATAAATGGACATACAAGATTTTCTGATTTCTAATTTATTGATGCAATGGAGATACATCTAATAATCATGACCCAGAATTGGTTTCTCTAATGAGAATTATTAGAAACAAAAAAAAAGGGGATCTTGTGATTAAAAGACTGCAATTAGAACTAAGACATGACAATAACTTATCTAGATTTCTCGAGAGAATTAAAACCAATGTTCCTAATTAAATTTGATTATCGTTTTCAATTTCATTCATTTCAAATGCATCCTAGAATTGGTTATACCATCTTGATTGATTGGACAAGTCCATCAATATGTCTAGGAGCAGTACAGTTGATTCCAACAGCAACAACTCGATCACATAAATCAGCAATTGCAGTACAATTTGATATAGGACCCCCACTAACTACATTGATCCCATCCTTAGAATTGAAAGAAAACCAGGTCGGAACTTTTATGTTTTCTTTCTCAAGAATCTCAGTATATTCCTATATCAAGAAGCAATCAGGCAAAATAGACAGTAAAACATCTAAATTGCTCTAGCAAAAGAAATGTTTGAGGTACACTGAGATAGTCACAACTCAAAAAACAATACCATAGCATCCAATTTGTTTGAAATTGTCTCAAATGCAAGCAGGTCAGCACCAGAGTCGGCAAGAACTTGAACTCTTCTTCTATGGAAATCTTTCAAAGTCTCCAGAGTCACTGTATCCCCATATATGCCACTGCAATGCATGAGAATATCACAAGTGCTCGAGAGGAAAAGTTTCTAGCACAAGTTCAAATATTTCAAGTCAGTATTTGGGCACTGAAATACTACTCTGCTTCCAATGTAAGAAAAGAATTAAAAGATTCACCTATATTCAGAACCATCAGCAAGATTAGCTCCATAGCCTCCAACAGAAGCAGCAACAAGGAGTGGACGTTTAAAGCTTTTGGATCTCCAATAACATCCCAAGAACCTTTGCTGGCTTTATAATAATATATATCCCGTACATCACATGCTATTTCAACAATTTTCCTGAGTAAAGCTTCACCTTCTTCTCTTGATATCCCTTTAGCTACAAATCCTTGAAGAGTGGCCTGTCTTCCAAACAAGAAAAATCAAGAGTCCTCAACTTCGTGAAAAATTCTTTCAATAATAATTAAACAAGATCCTTAGGAAGGCTTGGAAAAATTAAAAAAGACAGCCATATAACCTGATATGATACAGATATTATGATATTAGCACCAACTTCATGGTAATCAAGGTGTACCTGTCACGTGAAACAAACAATAAAGAATAAAACAAGAAAACCACATGGCTAAGGTGCTAATATTTAATCGCAGTTACAAGAATAAGGCCAAATTCATACAACTTTTTAAGCTGGCTACTTTGGCCATCCTTAAAATTATGCTGAATAGTTTCTTTGTCATCACTGGTAGCAATTCTGGGTTAGTAATAGACTACAGAGCCCAAAAACAGAATTAAAACCACATGAGAAGCAAATTAAAAACTAACCTGTCTTTTAATCGTAGCCTTCAGTGCTATCATAACCTGAAATAATCCATTGTAGATAGACCTTTCGGTAAGGGAAAAATTGAAATAGAAGAAAGAAATAAAGAAATAGTGAGGGTTAGTTATAGACTACTGAGGCAAAACAAAAAAAAACCACATAAGAAGCAAATTAATAACTAACCTGTTTCTTAATTGTAGCCTTCAGTGCTATCACAACTTGAAATAATCCATTGTAGATTTTAACCAATATAGAAAACATTTTAAAAAAAAAAGATTGATCTTTTGCCCCTTAAGATATCACAGCACAATTCTTCGTTGTGATATCTTAAGGTGAAGTAAATTTCTAATCTTCATAAGTAATATGGATTGGATTTTAACAACTTCATGGATTATTCAACACTTTTACCAAAATATAGTTTAACGTAAATCTATCAAACTTGTTAACATGGATTACACTTATGGACCACAAAATTCAAGCCAGCTAACCAATAACATTACCTTCTTCACTGTTCACAAACTGAGCAAGGCTTCTGCAGATTGTGCACCTTCATACCTGAGAATAAAAATCAATTCACGAGGAATACAATTATATGAACTCAAGGCAGAGCAAGCGAGAGTTTCATGAGAATCTGGTTAATTAAAAAAGAACAAGCAATAATGCCAAGTCGCCATTTACATAATGAAGAAGCATATTAATCACTGATGTAGAGATATTCTTACAGCATTCTATAATCACCAAAAAATTTTGGAGGGTCTACTTTACAAATGTAGGTAGGTACATGGCTAACGAACAAAAATAACCAAATCAGGAAAACAATGGCAGAAAGAAATGCACACCAAAAGCAAAAGCAGAAAAATAAACCAGCGACCACAAGCATGAGCATTCAACAACTTTGCAAATCAAAAAATCAAAAGCATACAGGAATTGCAAGACACAGACCGAAAAAAAAACTTCTTTACAGATCAAGAGGGAAAAAACAGATCTAACCCAAAAAAAAATCCACCACCACCAAGTGAATGAAAATAAAAAGTCATAAATTGTCTCATAAGACCTGATGTTCTCTATGTTGACAGAAAGATAGAAGCAAAATTAGATAAATAAGATTAATGGACTACATAAGTTTCCAATTTTTAAAGAATATTGTAGGAGGACAAAACTTCTTTCTTCTTGTAACTAAATCACAAAGATACTTACAGAACGAAAAGCTTCAAAGTAAAATAAAGAAAAGCAAAACCCAAAAAATACAAAAAACAGAACATAAAAGATGTTTGCTCCAAGGAATGAAACTTCAAGCATCATTTGCACTTGGTATGAAAAATTGTTATTCTAATCTTTACAAATTGTAGCCTCACATATGATCTGATGCAAAACTTATTCTTTCCAAAATTGACTTATGATCTGAATGTAAAACTTATTACTCTAAATATGATCTGAATGCAAAACTTACAAATTGTACAGTACAACGGCATTAGTAATGCAATCACAAACTGATTAGTAAAAGGCATTACAGAAAGGAAAAAAATTTCCAACAGCACCGACGAAAAAGTATCATAAGCCTGATAACAACTCAAAAAAATGAGCAAACACGACACAAGAAAAAGGTGCAATAGCTGCAACACAAACAAAAAACTTTTAATGGAAAACAACCACCAAAGAAATCACAAACCAGTTTCCTAAAAGCAATGAAAAAAATGCTTGCACAACAAAATACGACAACCATTAGTATCAAACAAGTTTTTACAGAGGAGGAGAAAAACAGGAATGCAGAGCAAATCTAAGGTAGGAAGACAAAATATGTATTCTAGCAGGAAATCCAAGTCCCGGGGATTTCTTTATTTTTTTTTGCCTTTTTAGGGTGGAATCCTAGAACTAAAAATAACCCAAATAGCACATGAAACAAGCACAAAAAAGCTTAAAAGAAAGGAAAACAAAAAAAAAATCTAGGAGGGAAAAAATGCCATAGCAGAAAGGATTTTACCGGGTAAAAATAAAAAAAAAATTCCAAGGGGTAAAAATCAATACAAACAGCCATGAAACAAGCACAAAGAACAGCTGAGAAGTGTAAAAAACAGCAACACCACAATTGCTCAAACATGGAAGGAAAATAAACAAAAATAGAGAGAAAATAACAAAATAATGAAGGTAGTACCTTAATGGATAGAAGATGCTTCAGTGCTTGTAGTTCTTTCTCAGACGAAAAATAAGAGTGCATAAATTGAAAGCTCCACAGATCTACACTCTAGTTGCATTCTAGATAAAACAAGACAAAACATCAATGTAACCAAAGTTTTAATAGAAAAGAAAGCGAAAAAAAATCACCAATGAAGGGAAAGTAGCGGAAAAACCAAGGTAGTACCTGAAACAATAGAGAGGAAGCAGCAGTTGACGCTTCACTTCTAGTTCTATCTGAGACTGAAAAATAAGTCAAGAAATCAAAAGCAAGACAAAAAACAGCAGTCTCCCAACCAAGGAGCCAAGAAACGGGGAAAAAAAAGAGCAGTGGAAAAGACCACTGTGGAGTTACATATTTTGTGTATGGCCGACTATGGTAGCCGCGATTTCGTTTACCAGGTTTGAAGCTACAAATAATTTTTGAAAAGAAATATGCAGCTCTCATGGTATCAGCCGATCAATCGGGCAAAAAAAAGTTAAAGAAAAAAGAAAAACAATAAAAAGGTGAAAGTAATATTTAAGAATGAAATCAAAGAATGAGAAGGAAAGAAGGAGGAGAGATAATAAAGATTTTGAGAGCAACAAGCAGAGGGAAAGATCTGACCAAGGAGCGGCGGTGAGAAGAAGAGGAGAAGGGAGGAGAAAACAGCTTCAATCCATCTACAATAGGAGAAAAGAAAGAAGAGAGGAAGACGAGATAGAAAAGAAGAAAAGACAAATGCAGGAGAAAGGAGAAGAGAAAACAAAGTCGAGGAGACGGAGCTTCTGAGAATAAGGTGAGGCAAAGCGGCGGCGGCGGAGGAATTTAAGAAAACCCTAGAGAGGAAGTATATGCAGGACTTCTGGCGCATCACGCGGGAAAAAAATGGCTGGTAACTCACATGTGCGGCACGTGAGAGGACGACGAAAACCATCCACGTCAGAAGAGCTCTTCGGCTCTTATTCTACTTATGTTGAAAAGTTCCACGAACCCCGGATAACATTGAAAGAAGCTTGTAGAACCGAGGGAGCCATTGCCTTCCAAACTGACATTTCCCCGGCCAACTGAACAAAAGATGGCCTGCAAAAGGCAAAAAAAAAAAAAAAAAAAAAGTAATGAGAATCTCCAATTGTTACTGCCTTTTTTTGAGAAAAATGATGGGTTTAAAAATTCTGCCAGATTCACTCAGCCCATGATCTTCAACCCTTTCTTGCTTAACAGTCCAAGGAAGAACAATAGTAGTATATAATCTTCAAACTAAAACCTACTCTAAAGATGTGACAACAGAGAAATACTCCAATCCATCTCCATCTGCAACCTTGGCAGCAGAGAAGAATTTAGGCACGACGAGTGACTGGCCGCTCTGCACCCGGGCGTCCAATGCCTTCCCACCAGTCATACCCGAAATTCGAATCACACCACTGCCTTTAGCGAAGTAAATCAACTGGAAGGATGCATCAGCGGTATACATGGGGTTAACATGGACAACGGATCCAACTTCACGACATTAGCACTTAGTCCCACTTTCTCCAGAAAAGGAAAATTTTCAGGAGTAGCAATGGTCAGTGATCCGCCCTGATTGACGTGGATGCTGGGCTTGGCACTTTCAAAGTCGAATAACATCTCGATGTGATCAGCATCTTTGCATGGATCGTGCAACGTTTGACCTCAACAAGCTTGACAATTAAAGCACCGGTTTGGTACGTCAGGAGCTGATCTGATTCATCTTGGGTGAGATTGAAAGCTCTGGAAACAAAATCAGTCGAGAAACCCCCAAGAACACCCAAGCCTCCTGTCAAGAAGAAATAGTCAAACCGAGAGGAAAAAGAAGGGCAAGATCGTACCTTACCCGAGAGGAAAAACAGAAGGCCTGCGTTCGGGGAGGAAAAAGGGGCGAAGACGGCACCTCCTTGGTCTGTAAGAAGGAAGTCTCAAGAATCGCTTCTCAAACCAGTAAAAGAGAAAAGCATTGAAAGAGAAGGGCAAGAGAATGGTTAAAAAAAACCCACAACTGCACATGTAGCTAGTACCTAAAACAGAACAGAACCCAAGTCTTCTAAATACCCACAACTGAACATGACTTGTAAGAAGCTATTCTCAAATCAAGAAAAAAAAAAAAAGCACAACCACATCATTGAAAGAGCAAGTTTGCAGCCTTCCGGAGAGCAAAATAGTAGATCTAGAGGACCCAAAGAACCAAAAAAAAAAAATTTATAGGGGAAACTCTCAGCGAAGACGAACCTAACCATAAAGGAAGAACAAGAAAACTTACCACGGAGGAGAGGAGGAGAAGCGAACGGACGGCAGCCGATTTGGATGACTGAAACCCAGAGAAAGCGAGAGACAGAGGCTCGATGGGCATTACGCGGCTCGAGAAGGGAAACAAGAACAAAGAGCAAAAACATCAGTTTCATGCTAAAGAAAAGATAATGCAGAAAACTCACAGCAAAGACTGCATGTCACCGAAAAGGAAGAAAAGGAAGAAGAAGAAAACTCACCACGGAGGAAGAGGAGGAGAACCAAACGTCTGGACCGCTGCAACCCAGAGAACGCGAGAGCTCGAGGCTTGATGCTTCTTGCGTGGTAAGAAGGGAACCGGATATCTCAGCAGGATCCTGGCCCAGGGCTCAGAACAGCCGGATAAGCAAGAGAGCAACATTGCCCAAAAGGAGGAGAGAGAGAGAAAGCAGTGGGAAGAAGGGGCACGTGATACAGCCACATACAGAGAACGCGGCAGACAACGCAGCAGGAGGCACATGGGATACTGACGGAGGACAAGCAGCGCGCGACGCGCGAACAACACAACGCTCCCAACCCACATGCGTGGCACGTGAGAGGACGACGAAACTTTTGGCTGAATGCTGTTGGGACGTTATCTACTTATGTTGATAAAAAAACTGCAGATCAATCATTACCAGTTGTGCGAGTCGAAACTGTTGTTGCGGTTATCACCCATGACAAAGACATACCCCTCAGGGACAAGCTACAGAAAACACAGGGCAGCGCATTTACAAATCAATGGAAAATGGGTTTGAAATTCAAAACAAGAAATTATATTCATATCATGAAAAAGCAATCCAAGGGACAAGTTGACATACCACCGGATCCATCTCATATGCCACTGGTTCTAAGATGAAATCCTCATCTTGAGCTACCCCATTTACCAGCAATTTGCCATTACGAACCTAATGTTAAGAGAACATTGTAAATTAAAAACCATAACCTCAATGCCATTAAAGAAAAAACGTCGCTAGATTATATGGAAAAGAATCACATACCTCCACATAGTCTCCAGCCTTAGCGACAACTCTCTTAATGAAGACATCACCAGAACTATAACCAATTTCCTGAATAAGAACGCAACTTTAGTCCTTGAGTCATAAAAAATCAGACACTGAGAGTTAAGACAAGAAAGAAGTCAAACGGTGCATCACATACTTGAAGAATTGGAGGTGCTTTAAAAATCACAATATCTGAAACTTCAGGCTTCCTAAAAACATACGAAACCTGCAAAACAATATGGTGCAAGACAGAGTGTCAGCACTCAAGACACATTCAAGAAGACAAAGCTTTAAGAAATATGCTCTTCAACTAAACAACAATTGATTCAATTTATCATGACAACCAAAGTACATGATTAAAGAAGCGACCAGCTGGAGAAAGAAGAAGATATGCACACATATATACACACACTACAATTATTATCCCAGATGATTTCAAGAAGATTGCCTATATTATTGTCAAAGGAAAGAAATGAGAATTGAATAAACTAGACTCAAAAAGGAAGCAACTGAATCACAACAGAGCCGACAAACCAAATTTAACAAATCGCAACACAAGTAATCTCACATCAATGACAGCAAATTGATTTTGATTTCTCAGCACAAGGATCTTGATCAGCAATACAGCATATTCCTCTCTACATCGTTGTCTGACAATGCAAAAGAAATTGTCGTCTGAACACGTAATATTTTAGAGGTTTGAAGAATGAAAAGTGTGACAATAGCAAAAACGGAAAGTCTGCCCACTCATTGCATCCATATTTTACTGAACAAGAGCCTAAATTTATGTTTCCTCATTCTAGCCAGGGGGAGAGGAGAGTTAAGCATCATTCTAGCCATCTTGACAATTGACATTAGAGATCAATCAAAGAGAACACTATACCATCGTAAGGTTTACCAGATGATAAACTCATCTAATCTTGTGAAAGACCTCAAATTAATGAAACCAATATTCTAATTGCAAGATATGCAAATTCAATATCCAAACGGACACCCACAGTTCTGCGTTTGAATTTCAATGAGGATTTTTCATAATGCCTGCACATTCATTACCCATTTTGACCTTGCAATAAAAAAAATTACTATTCCCATCATATGATTATTCCCTATGCAACTAGACAGCAAGTGCCATAAAAAGGGATCATATTGCTTTGAAGCAAATAAATAAACTTGAAGTTTTGCTCAAGTCACAGATCAGACTCTGTCAGACCATGACATATAGACAAAAAGAACTATTAAAGCATCACAGGCTGAATTAAAACAGCATTAGCTAGAATGCACTCTGCTAAAGGAACACAAGGGTTGAGTCTGAGCAAATACTTCCATAACTAATATCAGTGTCTGGTATGTTGGATAAAGAGCTTTGCATGTTATTCTAAACCCCAAAGTGGAGGACCAGTTGGCTATAAGTTTGAAAGTACAACCAAAGCCGAAGGCTGTGCCCAACAAATGCGTCAGTAAAGTTATTCCAACTGAAGAACAGGCCTTTACATGGATACAAAGGCATACTTTCTGAGACACTAAACTATAAATAAATGAGAAACAGACCAGTCCAATTGAATCACTTATGACCCAATCTACAAGTAACACATAAGGGGGAAAAATGGCTATGAAAACGAATTCAACGCAAACAACAAAAAGCCTAACGATAGGCGGCGATAGCATATATTATATGGATTTATATATACAAGATAGAAAGTCAACGTAGAAACTCAGAATCAGAAAGATCCCATTCCCCCCCCCCCGTACTACCCCATACCCCCCCGTACTACCCCATACCCCCCCCTACTATCCCATATACCCTAAACCCTCAACCCTCACACTCCACCTTAACTTTTCTAACTTTTTTAGGCAAAAGAGTGATTCCGGCCTCCTTGGCCCTACGCCGGAGGAATTTTACAGGTGGCCTGTTTTGGCCATGCGGCCTGTACTTTCTCAGAAGCTCCACCTCCACCTTCCAAGTATCATGGGCCGCCTTCAGACCGATAACCGCCTTGAGATCCGCCAGGGATCCAATCACGATTTTCGAAAACCTCAGCAGCCGGGTGCGGTTCGTGCGTTTGTCATGCTTGGCACCGCGATAGACCTCGCGAGCCTCCTTGGCAGTGTTCTTGGCAATCCTATAAGCGCGCAGGACCCTCGTTGATTTTGGCAGAGCGGCCATGTTGAGTATGCTTGATATTGTTCTCAAGTTAGGGTTCCGACGGCGACGAAAGGTTGAGGACAGAGAGGAGGGTACTAATTGTAACTTAAAATAGGATCTTGCTGCAGATTATGTCACTGCTTTGCCAGCTTAGACTGTCTGCCTCTCTATTGAAAAATAAATAAATGAAGAGAGAACACCAGGGTTTTATATTTGAACTAATGTCTTGGTAATTACTAGAAGAAATAATTGCTAAGGATTTGAGGTTGTGGAAGCAACCAATTGCAGCAAAATCGTATTCCCGGTATAAGACCATTTTTTTTGTTTTGGCCCTTTCTGTCTTCTTTTTCAATTATGGTTTGAAAATTATACACTACCATTAGTGATGTTTGCTTTTAATTAGTAGTAGTTATATTTGTTGAATCCAATAATTTCATCATTGATCTAGGTGATCCCAAGCTACTCGCTGTTGTCCTCCACTTTTCTTCTTTTATCGAAAGTCGTCGCTTTGACACTAAATCACGTAGTAACCCTCTATTCCATCTCTCAGGAAAAAAAAAAAAAAAAAAAAAAATCCCCTATTCAATTATTATGTATTTGTTTGCTTTTGAGCCAATCTTGTAGATCTCTTGTATTTCCACGGGAATAAAAGCCTATATGTCTCCGCCTTTTTAGCATAATAGTAGTTCATTTTATTCGATGAGAAAGGCCATACACTAGTCTAATATATTGCACATCGACTGTTCAACTTCCATCCACTAGTCTAGATGCATTGCTACAGTTTTGTGTTTGGATTATACCTTGTTTACACATTATTTACATAATATACTTATTTACTTATATCATCAATATATTTTTTAATTATTTTTTTATCTCTGTATATATTACATTTAAAAAAGTGTTATCCAAACTCAAAGGTATGCCGGATTTTTAAAGATTGGCAACACCTTGGAAATCTGATAAATATGGAAATGAAAATAATCTAAACAATTAGTACATTCTACTTATTAGGCAAAATAAACACAACTAGACCACTGGCGGATTTAAGGTGGGGGCACGAGCCCCCACTGCTCCCCTTAAATTCCTACAATATGCATAAAATTTTGATTTTATCTTAATTGTGTCTCCAAAGTTTTTTTTATGTAATAAATGAAAGAATTACATGATCTTTTAAATTGGTTCATGAACTAATATTCTAAAAGAATATGTGGATCACAATATTCCATTTGAAATAAGTTCAATTTTTTTTTTCATTTTAACTTATTGGTGAATATTTTTTTTACTTAAAAAACTAATAAAAGAGGAGGAAAAAAATTTTAGTGTTACTTTTGCCCCAATTAAAAATTTTTTCTGGCTCCACCACTGACTAGACTGACTAGCTCCAGGAGATTTTTCATTCCAAGACAAAATAAGCAAATGATAGACTAGTGTAGTGCATTAAATTTGATGGTACAAAAATATGAGTTGCGTAACAATTTCAAAGTCATCTTAATTGCTACTTACACACGTCCACATAGTTTGATAGTACACCATGACCGCTCCTGAGCTGTTAATGGCCATGATTTGGCCCCAACAAATTATGCATCTAGATCACAAGTTGTGCATCTATTTTAATATCATGTGTGGGACTCGCAAAATTTAATACTAAAGTTATATATTGTACAAACAAAGTTACGTCGTGTGCAACCGAAGTTACGCGCTGTTGAAAATGGCCAATACCGTTGGGGACGGTTGTACCTGCAACCGTCCGTGCCCCTTGTCTTTCTGACATTTTCTTACAAAAGTAAGAATTTTACGCAAATAAACCTAATCCCCACAGTAACTCCAAAAGCCGGCAACTTTTGGAGTCCTGTGAGGGACTTATCTACCCAAACCCCAACCCCCCAATACCGATGTGGGATAGAAACCCCACAGGGTGCCCCGCTGCTAAGAGATAAAGATCCCCAAGCCCCTGAAAATGAGTTTCTTTCTGACATTTTCTTACGAAAATAAAAATTTTACGCAAATAAACCTAATCCCCACGTGGCCTTGTCCGACCCATGCGAAAGCGATGCATACTCATAGGAGCTGTAGTGTCCAAAACGAGGGAAAAACGCGAGTAGGCATAATGTTTTATTTTTTCTATTTATTTAAGTGGGCAAAACGTGAAATCTCTTAAAAGATGTTGGCTGAGCATATTATTATGACTTTTTCAGGGACTTGCTGTCCCGACGGTGCAAGCACATTTTCCACAACTAAGACCACTTCCCTGCAAGGATGCAGCCACGCTGAAGTCGACTCAATGCGAGGCAATAACCAGAAGCCAAGAAGCCCTCTTATTTGCAGGTCTCTATTTGTTCGCGTTTGGCAACAGCGGAGTAAAAGCAGCATTGCCATCCCTGGGAGCCGACCAATTTGATGAAAGGAACCCTCTGGAGGCACCTAAACTTGCCAGCTTCTTCAACTGGTTGTTATTCTCCATCACTACTGGAGCAATGCTTGGGGTCACTTTTTTAGTATGGATAAGTGCAAATCAGGGATGGGATTGGTCATCTGGTGTTTGTACTATTGCTGTAACAATGAGACTTCTGTTCTTGCGCATGGGAAGATCAATCTACCGAAATAATGTCCCCAAGGGCCCCTCCATCCCCCAGTATGGAAATTAAATCAAGTCTTTTATTAGTACATGTTATTTGCTAATTAGTAGTACTAGTTTCTATATTGTTTAGTCTTGTTTCTTTTCAGTAATACATCGGTTGAAGAGGTGAAGCAAGTTCCAAGTCCAAAGCCGAAGTTGTAAGTTGATTCCATTCGTGGATTCGGAAACTGTGAGTCAATTGAAAAAAATAATAACAATGGAATTTTGTGCCAAGACGACGGGCCATCTTCTGATCAACGAGATCGAAGATGGTTGCAGGAAGAATATGGTGCTATCCCCGCTATCATTCAATGCTGTACTCAGCATGATTGCTGCAGGATCGACTGGATTGACCTTGTACCAGATGTCCAAGTTCTTGAATGCAACAACCTTGATCATGTCAATTCAAAGTTAAAAAACTTGACGAGCATTGCATCATCATCAACTGATGATCACAACACCACCAATGGCAATCATGGTGGTGGTCCTGTTATCTGTCTGGCGAACGGACTGTGGGCAGACAAACAATACCCTCTAAAACCATCGTATCAAAGACTCGTTGAGAGAGTTTATAAAGCCCAAGCCAAGAACGTGGACTTTGTTAACCAGGTATGTTGATTATTTTTCTTTTGTTCTGGAATTCACTTGGCTTTATGGACACAAAATCTGCTTAGGCTACTGTTGATTTAGGTGATTTCTTAACCTCGTATTAGAAAGAAATATATAATTGTGAAATTTCCTAATGTCGTTGCAATCGTGTATCGTGAATCTTTTTTTTCAAAAATGCATCATGCATCTTGAATGCTGTTTTGAGACAGAAGCCCATAGTCCATGGGACAATCGAGCCCTAACGAAACATTCGGACTCAGTTCATTAAGGGCTTAATTTGAATTCGATTTTGAATGATTTTGATCTCAAATTCGGATTAGCATTAATGTTGGATTAAAGTACGGAATTGAATTCGGAATTGTAAAGGAGTTGTACATATGCAGCCCGATTAGGCTCAAATATAAGTTTATTGTTTTATTTCATAGATATTATGTATGTATTGATTCATCCGTGGGGTGATAAAGTTGTTGAAATTGTGAATGCATGGGCAAAATCAGCAACCAAAGGGCTCGTGACCGACGTTCTCACGCCTGCCAACATCACTCCAGCTACCATGCTCATTCTTGGAACTACACTGTACTTCAAAGGTTCGTGGGAGGAAAAGTTTAACGCAGAGGAAACCGCGAACGGAGACTTTTACCTTTTAAATGGGGACACAGTTTCAGTACCCTTCATGACTGGTTGCGAAGCATATACTCACTCATGGATCATACGAAGGTTTTGAGGTTGTTAGTATTCCATATCAGAGAGGAAAAGTATTCTCCTTGTTCATTTTCCTTCCAAATGAGAGAGATGGATTGCATAATCTATTGGAACAGACAACTCTTGATTCGGGATTCTTTACACAAGATTTTCAGCTCAAGTACGGGGGATATGATACTTTCTGGATTCCAAAGTCTAAGTTTGCATTCCATACTTCTAAAGGGCGACAAACCATGGAAGATATGGTGCTAAAGTTACCATTTATGTAGGACTGTAAAGAGCTAACCGGGTTCATAGACACCAACGGATTTCCATTTTATGTCTCTGAGATAGTTCAAAAAGCTTTTATAGAGGTAGATGAGGTAGGCACGGAAGCAGCAGCTGTTACTGTTGCGTGTGATTACTTGGTTGCTCATTAGATGATGAGACGAGATTTGTGGCTGAACATCCTTTCATGTTCATGATAAGGAAGAGAGCTCCAGGTCAGTGCTGTTTACTGGAGCGGTATTGAATCCTCTAGTTCAGGACTGATCCTGTCAACTCTCTCAACAAGTATATTAGTTTTCGGGGGGTAGGGTTTCCAGCTTCGAGTTGAACTTGGCATGATAATGATGACATTGTCTTGTTTTTGCTCCAGTCGCGGGGTAGAGTATTTTGGCAGGTGATGATGTGCTGTAAATTTCAATATAAAACACAGCAAACTGGTTATGTCACAATCAAATCTATAGCCAACAAAATTGCAACATACATTGATATAATTGTGGAAAAATTATTGTTAAAACCAATCTGTAAATTGACTGCAACGCCGCACTTACAAAACATCACACGTATGACAGCATATAAATTGTAATCACAACAACCAAGCGGCTAAACCAATGATATTTTCATCTCTAATAGTAATATCATCAGCAGTAGGAGAATGCAGAAGTCCTGAAACGATGATAAATATTTGTTCAATCAACTAGGGAAGCCAATCTACGACATTAAAAATCTATCAAACAAGTATACCTGCTATCTTCCTTCAAACAAAGTATGCGTGCTGTCTTAAATACATGATCCTCCAATCTCAAGCGCTTCAAGATGCGGTAAGCAAAGCAACCCAACTTCAATTTATCAACTTGCAGCTTCTGCATTAGGAGCTTATCAGGATGCAGAGATACCTAAATTCCTCATTCAACTATCACACCATGCTGAAAGACATCAATTTTTTGTTTTTCTGTTGATTTTATACCACACAGAGCAATAACCCAGTCCATCTTGACTTGGACGACCCTATCTTGAAGTAATAACATCCGAGCCCGAAGTTGTCATCAGGCTTCCACTATCAGACATGTAGAAATAATTGTAATTAATTCTCGTAACCAAATCTGCTAAATGAGGAAACTGCCCCACGTTCAGCTTGAAAGATAGAATCTGCAACGTAGTGACAAAGATGATGAAATCCTTTTCTCCTAAGCTGGAGAATATCAAAACTATAACCAAGATTAACCGCAGTTTTTCCATTATCCATGCTACTACACAACAGTGGATTTACACTTCAATCCACTAGCGCATGGACATAAATTTTCTTAGCATATGCATCAAAACCAACAAAAGGATAGAGAAGGAATACCCTGAGAAGGAAAGCTATGCATTCATCGAACTGTCTCTCTATCCGATCTACTTCCATTTCGCATCTTGTCTTTATGGCAGACACTGCTCCACCACTGCTTAGAGTCTGCTGTATGGAATAGAAGTCCAAAGCAAGTCCAAGGATATTGTTGATTCGGCTGGCTATCAATGCCCACTAGTAATGAAACAATAATCATCAAAAATGTTAACACAATTTATCTTATTAGTTTCTTAACAAAACGTCCAATAGAAAGGAAAAATAAGGGTAGGCAAAAGCAAAGTTATTGGAGGCAGTTATGGACCAGCTTGTCAGGAACAACAAAGCACTGTGTCTGAATTGACAAAAGATAGGATTCATGCACTTCAATGACTTCATCCAAAGACCTAGCTGCTGCAACACCTTCACAGAGTTCACGCCATGCACTGTGATATACCTGCACACAGCCTTCGTGTAAGAAGTGCAAGAAACCAAAATTTCTCTTCAAAGAAGATACGCATTGATACTCTCAACCTTGCATGTAGCGTACTTGTATTGCCAAATAAACCTAGCTGCATTTACACAATTTAATTTGAATGAAGATCATCCAAAATTCAAGTGAATCTTCTTAGAGAATATATCTTTGGTAGTTAAATTTTATACACGCAAAAGAGGCAAGCAAGTTTAGATTAGCTTGTTCTAATTTATTTGAAAAAAAATTAGTCTAAGAACCCTCTATCACATAACCACCTACAAATATGAAAGCCCTGTCCATCTTTATATGCAAGTAATACAAGAACCAAACCCTAAAAGTTGTTAACGTACTAAACAAGGCGGTAAAATACATTACCCTGTCCATCACATACTGGTGAAAGGCATTGACAAAATGCAGTAATTTTTGCTCCAATAACCAATGGCGTTTGCGAGTAGTTGTAGCAGTGCTTCTATCCTGAGAGAGGCAAAGTATCGAATCAGTGATCTAAAGAATACCTTTCATAAGCCATGAAATTTTTGTTTAGCAATACAAAATTTCACTGCTGCAACATGATGAAAGCAAAAGAGAGTAAAAAATCAGGAACCTTCCACATCCACCTCCGAGCCTTATCAAGAACAAATTTTGCACGCTTGACCTTTAACAGGAAAATCATGACCTGTACCATATGTTCAGAAGAATTACAGTGCAAGACTAATTACAATTTGTCCATATGAAGCCAATTAGGTACCTGGTTATACTTCTTTAGTGCCTCTACATTAGCTAGAAGTTCAAGTGGCCAGGAGACCTGTATATTCAAGAAACATGTGCACTTAAGATGTTCATCAACAAGGTATTATTCAAGGTAAATGAAGTTGAAGTGCTTGACAGCTCGCAAACAGCAGGCACCTCTTGAAAGCAGAAGCATGCATATAAATCATACTGCCTACCTTGTATGTAAAATTTAGTGACTGAAGGACATCAATTCCCATGGTCTGTAGTCGACTTTTGCGAGGAGTTGAGATTTGGATAGATGCACCATGTTGTTCATCCTCACTTAAATCAGAGTTTTTTGTGATGGACACAACCAATGAATCAGGTGTGCTCAGAAGTGAGCCATCAGCAGAGCTTCTAATAGATTCCTGAAGTAAACATAAGCATTGTCATTATTGAGGCACTAACTGTATATTCACCCTCACCAAGCAAACACGGTCACTTGCTAGTCCCATTATCGGTTAAGTGGTATTAAAACACCAACCTGTGAAGATAATTTGAAGAAAAATGCACCAACAAAAAAAGAGATAACTAACCAGTTTCCCTCATTCAGAAAAAGAGAACAGGCTTCCAATGAACATTATAGCATGACAAATATAGATCATTCATGGGAAGGAAGAAATGTAAAATCAGGATAGTACAGCACAATAGTACAAATATGGTTAAAGGTTCAGCATGTGCACCTGCAATATGGTGTTCAACTCAAAATCATCATCTAACGATTCTCCTTTATCTAACTTGTTAAAAATCACTACCAAAAAATGTTGCAGAAGATCCCCTGTAATAAAAAGGTTTCAAGCTTTCAATCAATGAATGGTATTTTCTGATAACACCCAAGATTGCTAGAAGTATCCGTTTGACCAATATCCTAGAATACCTGAACCTAACAAATATATGGCGCGTAATACTTCTAGCTCATCCAGCAATCTCCAGTCATATAGTAGCTTTGACAATATAATCCTACCAATATAATCTGCCTGTAGATTAATGAAAATAACTTCTAAATATAATTCAGCCTTAAGAATGTAGGCAACAAATAAGACACCGAAAACCAAAAATAATTGTGCAGTCCACCTGTTTCTTGATGTAGGCAATAAGGCATTCCTGTAGAATAACAACAGGAAGTGGGGTAACCTTTGGTTCAGCACTCTGCATCCAACTTAGAATTCTTGATGGAAGGGTACTATTTTTCTCAAATGGCAAAAACTCTGACATGTGAAGGTCCTCCTGTTCCGCCACAGAAAGAATTGCTCAGATTTCAAATGTTCTAAAAACTACTGTGACAAACATAGTACTAACAAAATAGCTATACCTGAAAAGATGGAAGCAAAGTCATAAATGGAAATAGCATCTCTAACATTTTTGTTTCTTCCTGTCTACGAACATATTCAGATTCATCAAACCAAAAGCCAAAAGTAAAATCTGTGCTTTTTTCCTCAGAACAAGATCCACTATTTTTGTAAAATACAGCCTTTCTTAATTCCTTATCATCTAAAGGAGGAAGATACAAATTTCTAGACAAACTTAATGCACTCTGAGCATCCTTATTCCCGTAAAGAAATCTCTGACAAACAGTTATAGCAGGATTTTGAGGACAATATGTTCCAACACAAGGAACATCATCAACTCCATCAGGACCTAGTTTTTCTTTCTGTAAGCTAAAGACATCAGTATCTATATGTGTAGATCCTGAAACAATCTCTCTTTTCTGCCCCAATACATTGGCCAAGATTTTATACCAGACCTTATCTGATGATATAAATGGTAAAATCTCGCCATTTCTCTCTTCTTTCTCCTTTCCCACAGAAGATTCAAATGAAGAAACAATCAAATTATCACGCCAAACATATTCAGATATGTGATCGCTATGACCAATCAGTGCCGCCAATGACACGCAAAGGACCTCTGATAAAGTCAAACCAGCTATACACTGCCTAATCTCATGGTTATCGGCAGGTACATCTGAAAGTGATGGCAAAGGTGCATGTCGTATAAGCTGCAAGGACTTCCCAGCAGAAACAATTGCCTTACCCATGTCCTTAATGAACAAAGGACAAACATGATGTTCTATCTCCCCCCCCTCTTTTTCTCTCGTAGAAATCGACTCTCTTCCAGTAATATCTTTTTTGTCTTTTAGTAAAACATCAGATGAGGAACCGATCTCCAGGTTTTTAATTTTTGCTGTCCTTAGCAGATAGCTCTTCTCCCAAAACTCAGTCTCATCAATTGCAATTCCTTTGTTAGCATAAAAGAACATCTGGCAAAAACAGAATGATCAAAAAAGGCAGATTATGACCAAATACACAAGTATACAGTGGAGACTGAGTCAAAATGCCTGCTTTATAAAGAAATGATGAAAGTCATGTTTTGCCTAAGAGAAATGTTGCAGGACTACCTACACAGATTTGCTGACTCTTTGACTGCTCATTTATCCTTATCACAAAATTGAATACAGTTCAAACTGATTCAAAGAAGGTCACAATACAATAGGCAAATCAAGTTTTGAGTATTGAGTCATTAATTGTGAAAAACAAGCACCAAACAAGTATCATAACTTGACCATTTTCGTAACAGCATGCTCCAACCAAGAGATACACAATACAACTTTCATGAAGTATTACCTCCTCAAAAGGGTCGTCGAGAGTCCCTTCAAAAAGCCAAGAATCAAGACCCTCAACATAAGGCAGTAGACTCCCAGTAAATATGTAAAGTAACATCCGATAAGCATCCTCCTGAAAGAGCATTATTTGGATCAGCAAAGCTTAATCAAGGCATGCACAGAAACTGGGTACAGAAACTCTTTGACACAACCAACATAGCTTCACAACCTCACCCCCTTGCACAAGACAAACTTCATCGAGTTTTCTGTATAGCTGATTAAGAATGTAAACAGCAACATCTGCTGCTGCTATATAAGAATTGGGTTCAAAATAGGCTCCTGGAACAGCTTCATGCACAATTTGCAACAGATACTCAGCTCCTGGGCACAGACTACAAAAGACAAACACAATCAGGAGCTATTACAAAATGAAAAACTATACCATTCTAGCCATCTTGACAATTGACATTAGAGATCAATCAAAGAGAACACTATACCATCGTAAGGTTTACCAGATGATAAACTCATCTGATCTTGTGAAAGACCTCAAATTAATGAAACCAATATTGTAATTGCAAGATATGCAAATTCAATATCCAAACGGACACCCACAGTTCTGCGTTTGAATTTCAATGAGGATTTTTCATAATGCCTGCACATTCATTACCCATTTTGACCTTGCAATAAAAAAAATTACTATTCCCATCATATGATTATTCCCTATGCAACTAGACAGCAAGTGCCATAAAAAGGGATCATATTGCTTTGAAGCAAATAAATAAACTTGAAGTTTTGCTCAAGTCACAGATCAGACTCTGTCAGACCATGACATATAGACAAAAAGAACTATTAAAGCATCACAGGCTGAATTAAAACAGCATTAGCTAGAATGCACTCTGCTAAAGGAACACAAGGGTTGAGTCTGAGCAAATACTTCCATAACTAATATCAGTGTCTGGTATGTTGGATAAAGAGCTTTGCATGTTATTCTAAACCCCAAAGTGGAGGACCAGTTGGCTATAAGTTTGAAAGTACAACCAAAGCCGAAGGCTGTGCCCAACAAATGCGTCAGTAAAGTTATTCCAACTGAAGAACAGGCCTTTACATGGATACAAAGGCATACTTTCTGAGACACTAAACTATAAATAAATGAGAAACAGACCAGTCCAATTGAATCACTTATGACCCAATCTACAAGTAACACATAAGGGGGAAAAATGGCTATGAAAACGAATTCAACGCAAACAACAAAAAGCCTAACGATAGGCGGCGATAGCATATATTATATGGATTTATATATACAAGATAGAAAGTCAACGTAGAAACTCAGAATCAGAAAGATCCCATTCCCCCCCCCCCGTACTACCCCATACCCCCCCGTACTACCCCATACCCCCCCCTACTATCCCATATACCCTAAACCCTCAACCCTCACACTCCACCTTAACTTTTCTAACTTTTTTAGGCAAAAGAGTGATTCCGGCCTCCTTGGCCCTACGCCGGAGGAATTTTACAGGTGGCCTGTTTTGGCCATGCGGCCTGTACTTTCTCAGAAGCTCCACCTCCACCTTCCAAGTATCATGGGCCGCCTTCAGACCGATAACCGCCTTGAGATCCGCCAGGGATCCAATCACGATTTTCGAAAACCTCAGCAGCCGGGTGCGGTTCGTGCGTTTGTCATGCTTGGCACCGCGATAGACCTCGAGCCTTGGCAGTTTGGCATCCCTAAAGCGCGCACCCCTTGTTTTTTGGCAGAGCCCATTTTGTATGCTGATATATTCAAAGTAGGGGTTCCGACGGCGACGAAAGGTTGAGGACAGAGAGGAGGGTACTAATTGTAACTTAAAATAGGATCTTGCTGCAGATTATGTCACTGCTTTGCCAGCTTAGACTGTCTGCCTCTCTATTGAAAATAAAATAAATGAAGAGAGAACACCAGGGTTTTATATTTGAACTAATGTCTTGGTAATTACTAGAAGAAATAATTGCTAAGGATTTGAGGTTGTGGAAGCAACCAATTGCAGCAAAATCGTATTCCCCGGTATAAGACCATTTTTTTTGTTTTGGCCCTTTCTGTCTTCTTTTTCAATTATGGTTTGAAAATTATACACTACCATTAGTGATGTTTGCTTTTAATTAGTAGTAGTTATATTTGTTGAATCCAATAATTTCATCATTGATCTAGGTGATCCCAAGCTACTCGCTGTTGTCCTCCACTTTTCTTCTTTTATCGAAAGTCGTCGCTTTGACACTAAATCACGTAGTAACCCTCTATTCCATCTCTCAGGAAAAAAAAAAAAAAAAAAAAAAATCCCCTATTCAATTATTATGTATTTGTTTGCTTTTGAGCCAATCTTGTAGATCTCTTGTATTTCCACGGGAATAAAAGCCTATATGTCTCCGCCTTTTTAGCATAATAGTAGTTCATTTTATTCGATGAGAAAGGCCATACACTAGTCTAATATATTGCACATCGACTGTTCAACTTCCATCCACTAGTCTAGATGCATTGCTACAGTTTTGTGTTTGGATTATACCTTGTTTACACATTATTTACATAATACACTTATTTACTTATATCATCAATATATTTTTTAATTATTTTTTTATCTCTGTATATATTACATTTAAAAAAGTGTTATCCAAACTCAAAGGTATGCCGGATTTTTAAAGATTGGCAACACCTTGGAAATCTGATAAATATGGAAATGAAAATAATCTAAACAATTAGTACATTCTACTTATTAGGCAAAATAAACACAACTAGACCACTGGCGGATTTAAGGTGGGGGGGGCTCGTGCCCCCACTGCTCCCCTTAAATTCCTACAATATGCATAAAATTTTGATTTTATCTTAATTGTGTCTCCAAAGTTTTTTTTATGTAATAAATGAAAGAATTACATGATCTTTTAAATTTGTTCATGAACTAATATTCTAAAAGAATATGTGGATCACAATATTCCATTTGAAATAAGTTCAATTTTTTTTTTCATTTTAACTTATTGGTGAATATTTTTTTTACTTAAAAAACTAATAAAAGAGGAGGAAAAAAATTTTAGTGTTACTTTTGCCCCAATTAAAAATTTTTTCTGGCTCCACCACTGACTAGACTGACTAGCTCCAGGAGATTTTTCATTCCAAGACAAAATAAGCAAATGATAGACTAGTGTAGTGCATTAAATTTGATGGTACAAAAATATGAGTTGCGTAACAATTTCAAAGTCATCTTAATTGCTACTTACACACGTCCACATAGTTTGATAGTACACCATGACCGCTCCTGAGCTGTTAATGGCCATGATTTGGCCCCAACAAATTATGCATCTAGATCACAAGTTGTGCATCTATTTTAATACCATGTGTGGGACTCGCAAAATTTAATACTAAAGTTATACATTGTACAAACAAAGTTACGTCGTGTGCAACCGAAGTTACGCGCTGTTGAAAATGGCCAATACCGTTGGGGACGGTTGTACCTGCAACCGTCCGTGCCCCTTGTCTTTCTGACATTTTCTTACAAAAGTAAGAATTTTACGCAAATAAACCTAATCCCCACAGTAACTCCAAAAGCCGGCAACTTTTGGAGTCCTGTGAGGGACTTATCTACCCAAACCCCAACCCCCCAATACCGATGTGGGATAGAAACCCCACAGGGTGCCCCGCTGCTAAGAGATAAAGATCCCCAAGCCCCTGAGAATGAGTTTCTTTCTGACATTTTCTTACGAAAATAAAAATTTTACGCAAATAAACCTAATCTCCACGTGACCTTGTCCGACCCATGCGAAAGCGATGCATACTCATAGGAGCTGTAGTGTCCAAAACGAGGGAAAAACGCGAGTAGGCATAATGTTTTATTTTTTCTATTTATTTAAGTGGGCAAAACGTGAAATCTCTTAAAAGATGTTGGCTGAGCATATTATTATGACTTTTTCAGGGACTTGCTGTCCCGACGGTGCAAGCACATTTTCCACAACTAAGACCACTTCCCTGCAAGGATGCAGCCACGCTGAAGTCGACTCAATGCGAGGCAATAACCAGAAGCCAAGAAGCCCTCTTATTTGCAGGTCTCTATTTGTTCGCGTTTGGCAACAGCGGAGTAAAAGCAGCATTGCCATCCCTGGGAGCCGACCAATTTGATGAAAGGAACCCTCTGGAGGCACCTAAACTTGCCAGCTTCTTCAACTGGTTGTTATTCTCCATCACTACTGGAGCAATGCTTGGGGTCACTTTTTTAGTATGGATAAGTGCAAATCAGGGATGGGATTGGTCATCTGGTGTTTGTACTATTGCTGTAACAATGAGACTTCTGTTCTTGCGCATGGGAAGATCAATCTACCGAAATAATGTCCCCAAGGGCCCCTCCATCCCCCAGTATGGAAATTAAATCAAGTCTTTTATTAGTACATGTTATTTGCTAATTAGTAGTACTAGTTTCTATATTGTTTAGTCTTGTTTCTTTTCAGTAATACATCGGTTGAAGAGGTGAAGCAAGTTCCAAGTCCAAAGCCGAAGTTGTAAGTTGATTCCATTCGTGGATTCGGAAACTGTGAGTCAATTGAAAAAAATAATAACAATGGAATTTTGTGCCAAGACGACGGGCCATCTTCTGATCAACGAGATCGAAGATGGTTGCAGGAAGAATATGGTGTTATCCCCGCTATCATTCGATGCTGTACTCAGCATGATCGCTGCAGGATCGACTGGATTGACCTTGTACCAGATGTCCAAGTTCTTGAATGCAACAACCTTGATCATGTCAATTCAAAGTTAAAAAACTTGACGAGCATTGCATCATCATCAACTGATGATCACAACACCACCAATGGCAATCATGGTGGTGGTCCTGTTATCTGTCTGGCGAACGGACTGTGGGCAGACAAACAATACCCTCTAAAACCATCGTATCAAAGACTCGTTGAGAGAGTTCATAAAGCCCAAGCCAAGAACGTGGACTTTGTTAACCAGGTATGTTGATTATTTTTCTTTTGTTCTGGAATTCACTTGGCTTTATGGAGCTGTATTGAATCCTCTACTTCAGGACTGATCCTGTCAACTCTCTCGACAAGACCATTAGTTTTGGGGGTTAGGGTTTCCAGCTTCGAGTTGAACTTGGCATGATAATGATGACATTGTCTTGTTTTTACTCCAGTCGCTGGTGAATGTGTTTCTGCTGTTAACCATTTTCTGTTCCGCCGATGGTATAACCTCAGCTTCCTCATATGCCACACCAGTCTAAGAACGATTAAGCACAAAAATACCAACAGTCTATCTCAAAGGAATCGTTCAACCTTGCAGATGATAAAGGGCCTTTATCAGTTAAGCTGTGATTGCAGCCAGTGAAATCCACATGCTTTAAGAATCCATATGGGGTGCAGTTACCTCATAAAAATTTCAAATCATCTCTTATTTTCAATATAAAACACAGCAAACTGGTAATGCCACGCTCAAATCTATAGCCAACAAAATTGCAACATGCATTGATATAATTGTGGAAAAATTATTGTTAAAACCAATCTGTAAATTGACTGCAACGCCGCACTTACAAAACATCACACGTATGACAGCATATAAATTGTAATCACAACAACCAAGCGGCTAAACCAATGATATTTTCATCTCTAATAGTAATATCATCAGCAGTAGGAGAATGCAGAAGTCCTGATACGATGATAAATATTTGTTCAATCAACTAGGGAAGCCAATCTACGACATTAAAAATCTATCAAACAAGTATACCTGCTATCTTCCTTCAAACAAAGTATGCGTGCTGTCTTAAATACATGATCCTCCAATCTCAAGCGCTTCAAGATGCGGTAAGCAAAGCAACCCAACTTCAATTTATCAACTTGCAGCTTCTGCATTAGGAGCTTATCAGGATGCAGAGATACCTAAATTCCTCATTCAACTATCACACCATGCTGAAAGACATCAATTTTTTGTTTTTCTGTTGATTTTATACCACACAGAGCAATAACCCAGTCCATCTTGACTTGGACGACCCTATCTTGAAGTAATAACATCCGAGCCCGAAGTTGTCATCAGGCTTCCACTATCAGACATGTAGAAATAATTGTAATTAATTCTCGTAACCAAATCTGCTAAATGAGGAAACTGCCCCACGTTCAGCTTGAAAGATAGAATCTGCAACGTAGTGACAAAGATGATGAAATCCTTTTCTCCTAAGCTGGAGAATATCAAAACTATAACCAAGATTAACCGCAGTTTTTCCATTATCCATGCTACTACACAACAGTGGATTTACACTTCAATCCACTAGCGCATGGACATAAATTTTCTTAGCATATGCATCAAAACCAACAAAAGGATAGAGAAGGAATACCCTGAGAAGGAAAGCTATGCATTCATCGAACTGTCTCTCTATCCGATCTACTTCCATTTCGCATCTTGTCTTTATGGCAGACACTGCTCCACCACTGCTTAGAGTCTGCTGTATGGAATAGAAGTCCAAAGCAAGTCCAAGGATATTGTTGATTCGGCTGGCTATCAATGCCCACTAGTAATGAAACAATAATCATCAAAAATGTTAACACAATTTATCTTATTAGTTTCTTAACAAAATGTCCAATAGAAAGGAAAAATAAGGGTAGGCAAAAGCAAAGTTATTGGAGGCAGTTATGGACCAGCTTGTCAGGAACAACAAAGCACTGTCTCTGAATTGACAAAAGATAGGATTCATGCACTTCAATGACTTCATCCAAAGACCTAGCTGCTGCAACACCTTCACAGAGTTCACGCCATGCACTGTGATATACCTGCACACAGCCTTCGTGTAAGAAGTGCAAGAAACCAAAATTTCTCTTCAAAGAAGATACGCATTGATACTCTCAACCTTGCATGTAGCGTACTTGTATTGCAAAATAAACCTAGCTGCATTTACACAATTTAATTTGAATGAAGATCATCCAAAATTCAAGTGAATCTTCTTAGAGAATATATCTTTGGTAGTTAAATTTTATACACGCAAAAGAGGCAAGCAAGTTTAGATTAGCTTGTTCTAATTTATTTGAAAAAAAATTAGTCTAAGAACCCTCTATCACATAACCACCTACAAATATGAAAGCCCTGTCCATCTTTATATGCAAGTAATACAAGAACCAAACCCTAAAAGTTGTTAACATACTAAACAAGGCGGTAAAATACATTACCCTGTCCATCACATACTGGTGAAAGGCATTGACAAAATGCAGTAATTTTTGCTCCAATAACCAATGGCGTTTGCGAGTAGTTGTAGCAGTGCTTCTATCCTGAGAGAGGCAAAGTATCGAATCAGTGATCTAAAGAATACCCTTGATAAGCCATGAAATTTTGTATTGCATAAGCCATGAAATTTTTGTTTAGCAATACAAAATTTCACTGCTGCAACATGATGAAAGCAAAAGAGAGTAAAAAATCAGGAACCTTCCACATCCACCTCCGAGCCTTATCAAGAACAAATTTTGCACGCTTGACCTTTAACAGGAAAATCATGACCTGTACCATATGTTCAGAAGAATTACCGTGCAAGACTAATTACAATTTGTCCATATGAAGCCAATTAGGTACCTGGTTATACTTCTTTAGTGCATCTACATTAGCTAGAAGTTCAAGTGGCCAGGAGACCTGTATATTCAAGAAACATGTGCACTTAAGATGTTCATCAACAAGGTATTATTCAAGGTAAATGAAGTAGAAGTGCTTGACAGCTCGCAAACAGCAGGCACCTCTTGAAAGCAGAAGCATGCATATAAATCATACTGCCTACCTTGTATGTAAAATTTAGTGACTGAAGGACATCAATTCCCATGGTCTGTAGTCGACTTTTGCGAGGAGTTGAGATTTGGATAGATGCACCATGTTGTTCATCCTCACTTAAATCAGAGTTTTTTGTGATGGACACAACCAATGAATCAGGTGTGCTCAGAAGTGAGCCATCAGCAGAGTTTCTAATAGATTCCTGAAGTAAACATAAGCATTGTCATTATTGAGGCACTAAATGTATATTCACCCTCACCAAGCAAACACGGTCACTTGCTAGTCCCATTATCAGTTAAGTAGTATTAAAACACCAACCTGTGAAGATAATTTGAAGAAAAATGCACCAACAAAAAAAGAGACAACTAACCAGTTTCCCTCATTCAGAAAAAGAGAACAGGCTTCCAATGAACATTATAGCATGACAAATATAGATCATTCATGGGAAGGAAGAAATGTAAAATCAGGACAGTACAGCACAATAGTACAAATATGGTTAAAGGTTCAGCATGTGCACCTGCAATATGGTGTTCAACTCAAAATCATCATCTAACGATTCTCCTTTATCTAACTTGTTAAAAATCACTACCAAAAAATGTTGCAGAAGATCCCCTGTAATAAAAAGGTTTCAAGCTTTCAATCAATGAATGGTATTTTCTGATAACACCCAAGATTGCTAGAAGTATCCGTTTGACCAATATCCTAGAATACCTGAACCTAACAAATATATGGCGCGTAATACTTCTAGCTCATCCAGCAATCTCCAGTCATATAGTAGCTTTGACAATATAATCCTACCAATATAATCTGCCTGTAGATTAATGAAAATAACTTCTAAATATAATTCAGCCTTAAGAATGTAGGCAACAAATAAGACACCGAAAACCAAAAATAATTGTGCAGTCCACCTGTTTCTTGATGTAGGCAATAAGGCATTCCTGTAGAATAACAACAGGAAGTGGGGTAACCTTTGGTTCAGCACTCTGCATCCAACTTAGAATTCTTGATGGAAGGGTACTATTTTTCTCAAATGGCAAAAACTCTGAAATGTGAAGGTCCTCCTGTTCCGCCACAGAAAGAATTGCTCAGATTTCAAATGTTCTAAAAACTACTGTGACAAACATAGTAATAACAAAATAGCTATACCTGAAAAGATGGAAGCAAAGTCATAAATGGAAATAGCATCTCTAACATTTTTGTTTCTTCCTGTCTACGAACATATTCAGATTCATCAAACCAAAAGCCAAAAGTAAAATCTGTGCTTTTTTCCTCAGAACAAGATCCACTATTTTTGTAAAATACAGCCTTTCTTAATTCCTTGTCATCTAAAGGAGGAAGATACAAATTTCTAGACAAACTTAATGCACTCTGAGCATCCTTATTCCCGTAAAGAAATCTCTGACAAACAGTTATAGCAGGATTTTGAGGACAATATGTTCCAACACAAGGAACATCATCAACTCCATCAGGACCTAGTTTTTCTTTCTGTAAGCTAAAGACATCCGTATCTATATGTGTAGATCCTGAAACAATCTCTCTTTTCTGCCCCAATACATTGGCCAAGATTTTATACCAGACCTTATCTGATGATATAAATGGTAAAATCTCGCCATTTCTCTCTTCTTTCTCCTTTCCCACAGGAGATTCAAATGAAGAAACAATCAAATTATCACGCCAAACATATTCAGATATGTGATCGCTATGACCAATCAGTGCCGCCAATGACACGCAAAAGACCTCTGATAAAGTCAAACCAGCTATACACCGCCTAATCTCATGGTTATCGGCAGGTACATCTGAAAGTGATGGCAAAGGTGCATGTCGTATAAGCTGCAAGGACTTCCCAGCAGAAACAATTGCCTTACCCATGTCCTTAATGAACAAAGGACAAACATGATGTTCTATCTCCCCCCCCTCTTTTTCTCTCGTAGAAATCGACTCTCTTCCAGTAATATCTTTTTTGTCTTTTAGTAAAACATCAGATGAGGAACCGATCTCCAGGTTTTTAATTTTTGCTGTCCTTAGCAGATAGCTCTTCTCCCAAAACTCAGTCTCATCAATTGCAATTCCTTTGTTAGCATAAAAGAACATCTGGCAAAAACAGAATGATCAAAAAAGGCAGATTATGACCAAATACACAAGTATACAGTGGAGACTGAGTCAAAATGCCTGCTTTATAAAGAAATGATGAAAGTCATGTTTTGCCTAAGAGAAATGTTGCAGGACTACCTACACAGATTTGCTGACTCTTTGACTGCTCATTTATCCTTATCACAAAATTGAATACAGTTCAAACTGATTCAAAGAAGGTCACAATACAATAGGCAAATCAAGTTTTGAGTATTGAGTCATTAATTGTGAAAAACAAGCACCAAACAAGTATCATAACTTGACCA